GTCCTGCCAGACTTTCAACCAAAATTTGGTGCTTTTGTTTGTATTTTCATTTAGTCCTTTTGTTCAAGCAAAATTTGGTGCTTTTGTTCGTATTTTCATCTAGTTCCTCCACGGCAATTTCATTTCACGCTTGTGTTTAAAATACGTTTCCGCCATTTTGTTTGTTTTGGGAAAATCATTAATTGTACTGCAGTACAATTAATGAAATAATTGTACTCCTCTCAACCAATCAGCATCCAGTAATTTTGTCATGCTAATAATAATAATTATAATATAGCATTTGTAAATTCTGAACGCTGATTGGCTAAGAGCCGTGTTGACATAACTCGATGTCAACACGGGAAATTTTCCGCCGCTTGTAAACACGGAAATTTTTCTTATCCTTCGGGCTTTTGACATTGCTATATTATAAAAAAAAATATAAAACATTTTTTCCGTATTGATATATAGTTATATCAACACTCGTGGAAGTTGGGAAAACTCGAAATTGTATGAAAACACTCCGCCGTTCGGGCGTCGTGTTTCCATACAATTTCTCGTTTTCCCAATTCCACTCGTGTTGATATAACTGTATATCAATACGGAAAATGTTTTATATTTGTTAATGCATGGTAACTACATAATGTAGCTGATTTAATTCATTTCGCTACCATTAGCATTGTCTAGTCATATGGACCCGGGCTTATGGATTGAAAAGCTTTGCTAAGTAATAAATGTTTTGTCTTTCACAATTTTGCACAAAGCAAAACAAACACTGAAATAATTTTGTTATTCATGCACAGATCAAAGTTGCTGATGCCGAAGGAAAAGACGTATCGTTACGTAATTTGTTACTGAATCGATGTCAGAAGGAATTCGAAACACAGAACGAGTACGAACAAGCGTTGTTGGAGAAACAAAAACAATTTAAAGGATTATCGGTAGGAATGGACTTTTATAGAAATTTGTTATGTTAGGAAACTTATCATGCTTCTGCATGGAACTACACAACTATAGCATCCAGGATAAGCAAAATGTTATTCATTTCTGGAAAAAAGCGTGGCATATGCGTGTTCCTCTTGGTTTTCGTGCAGATACTTGCTTTTCACTTAAAACACTATGGTTATGACCAGGCCTGGAAAAAAACTTTTCTTTATGTGACCACAGAAAAAAACCAAAAATCTCAAGACAAAAATCTCAGCAAGTTAAATGGGCCGAAAGCAAGCATCATGCAGGGGGTTCTTGCGTCTGTCTAAAAATGGCCTAATTTCAAATTATGTAGTTTGTGTATTATTTAAACTTATCCACCTTTGCATTCCAAGACCTTGATGGTTTCAGATCAGAGATTTATACAGGTACTTTTTAACCACCGGCATTCGGTATAGTAAAAAGTCGATTTTTAATAGTAAGAGTATTGAAACTCAATATTTTTCTATAATTATCGTAATTATATTTTTCACAATATGCTTTAAAAAATTGTGACAAGTGTGAACAATTAACTGTAAACCTGTTTTAAAACGGTAATATTTCTGCTCAAAGTACTGTCTGAATGAATGAAATGTTATTTCATAGAGACAAAATCAAGAATTTTCGGGAGGTGGGGGTTTTGATTGAAGTTGAGAAGTGTTCTCCTTCTAAAACACAATCTTTCGAAAAATGGCAGTAGACTTAAATGCTTGTATTAATCCCGGCACATCAGCACTCTGATTCATCTTTTTTTTTGTTTCATTCTTCATCCATCCGAAAATTTTCTCGGAACTCAGACAGTTTCTGGGACAAAATGCTCCTGTGGTCTAACACATTTTTCACCCTTTGTTATTCCTCCATGCGTGCTATCATTTTGTTTTTAAATATTGTGTGTTGTGTTTTGATTTAGGTGATTTTTGATTTGTTTGTATTTAATACTGATTGTCAAAATTTTATAAGATCATCCCAGAAACGCAGAAAACGATTTATTAATAGGAGCTCTAGAGAATACAAAAATTATTACATATTTTCAGCATTGCCAATGCATGGGCGTCTATTTGTTCTTTCCATATATAGCTGCAGGCCATTTCGTTTTGAAAACTTCACCTCAATATTACATAATTAACGTCGAGTGATCTTTACATTTTTACAGGCGAAAGAGAGACAGATTAGAAAAGAGGAAATAGACGAAGCTCTAGCGAAGAATAAAAGACGGATGTTGGGAAATATCAAGTTTCTTGGAGAATTATTTAAATTAAAGGTGTGTTAGTGAGTATAGCAAAAAGGTTATTGGACATACAGTATAGGAAGAACATGCAGTTTAAAACTACTAACAGTCGAACCCTTGTTAACGGACACCCCCTTTTATAATTTAAGCGGACACATATCTCCGGTCCCAATGATCTCTTTACTAAAACATTGTCATTACCCCAATTCGATGGAGACCTCTATTAAGCGGAAACAGTCAAGCGGAGGTCCCAATGAGCCGAATATAATCTGTCTTAAGCGGACAAACGAAACTGATGAATGTAAATATGTTTAATTAAATTCCATACCAATCCACAGTAAAATTCAATTTTAAGGAATTTCCAGTAGTACAGTATAAACGCCGATATATCTTGAACTAATCTTTTAATTTGTCTTTGAATCAATTGCAAGAAAAATCTTCCTTGAATATTGAACTCGCAGGGAAGTTCCACACCAGAATCAGCTCCTCTCTTGACACGTTTACCTTTGATCGCCACTGTCACCAAATGAGTTGGGCGTTACCTCCTGTTGTTTTCGCTATTGCAAACCCCTATTATTAAGCGGTTACCTCTTTTAAGCGGACATATTGGTGAGTTCCCGAAGGTGCCCGTTTAGTAGGGGTTTGACTGTATATAATGGAATTATAGATCAGGGACCGATTGTATGAAAGGTTTAACTACTTTTTAACTAGCCGTTTTTTGTTAAATAGTAATTAACTCTCAAATACGCGATTCCGATTGGTTAACTTTTGCTCTAAAAGTAGTTAACTTTAACAACTTTTTTATACAACCGGCTCCTCGTAGAAATAATTTAATTTCTTTCAATAATAACTGGAGAGTAATACACTATAGTAAACCTCTATTCCAGTTGTTAACAGAGAACATTATGCATGATTGTGTATTAAACCTCTATTCCAGTTGTTAACAGAGAACATTGTGCATGATTGTGTATTAAAACTGCTTCGTGCTGGCGATGAAGAAAGTTTGGAAAGCATGTGCAAGCTATTGTTCACCATTGGCGAAGATCTTGATTCCGATAAAGCAAAGGTAATTCACTTGGAATTGTTATTGAATTGTACCGTCTTTAAATAAGGATATCACTGCTTCGTAAATAAGTTAATAAGTATTTCTCATCTAGTGAAACTAGACCAATTTGAGTCATCTTTACTGGATCCCTATGGAAAACTATGTAGAACTGATAAAGATAGCCTATTCACTGTAAATGTACAGGGGTTTGTTTGTACCTACCTATATGAACTGGCTTTGTGATTGGTGATCCGCTTCAATAGACCTTTCCCCTTATGAGTGAAGTCCGCTTCAATAGACCTTTCCCCTTATGAGTGAAATTTTGATCTAGAGATGCCTGGACAAAAATCAGACGATCAAACTGATTATCAATTTCCCGTTTGTAGGCCCTAATACAAAATGACTGAAAAACGGCAAACTTCGCAGGGCTATATTATCCGCATTTTACAACATTTCGCAACGAAACTTTGGAATATTACTCATTTTGTGATGCTCTTTCAAGCTGTGATGAAATTTTTGTCCAGACATACCCAGATCAAAATTTCACTCAAAAGGGACAGGTCTATTGGGTTTGGCTCTGTTGTGCTGAGTGGTTATATTACTATACCATGGACCACTTTTCTTCATGTCTTCCGATTCAAAAACGAATTATAAACACTGATCATCTTTGTTTTAGAAAACCAGTCACAAAACGTATTTATATTAGATTGGTAATTTAATTTACCTCTCATCCTGTATGTAATAAACTTAATAACAGTGGAGTAATTTGAGATGGTCTTTACTGGAACTCTAGGAAGAAATGGTGGGGCTATCCATTTTAAAGAAAAACTTTGTTTGGTTTTCTCTGCAGTAATATTGAAGCAATAACAAGGGATGGTTTTTATTGGACCTCTACTGAAAACAGTTAATACCTTGACAATGGAGCTATATTCAATTTATATATAAAAAAGTGCAGCTTTGGACAGAGGTCAATAGAGTATTAATAATTAATAATTTCTAATCCATCAACAACGTTAATTTCAGCCTCGAATGGATCAATACTTCGACCAAATCAACAGGATTATAATTGCTGAGAAAGTCTCATCAAGAGTGATATTCATGCTTCGTGATGTGGTTGAACTTCGTCAAAATGAGTGGGTCGCCCGCCGAGAAGGACATTACAATCCAAAGACTATTGAAGCACAAATTGAGAAAATGCAGGAGCAAAGATTAGCAGTCCAATTCCCTGTCATGAATAAAAAACAGAAGCAAGGCGGACCAGGTAATATAATGGAACAGGCCCTTTGGAAAATGCAAAAAATATAGACCCGTACAAGGGTCTGTAGGTATCACAGCGTATCGAGCAAGTTTTCCTTGACAACAAGTACTTTTATTTCTTTGACAAAAAGTAATTTTTATTTGTTCGTGTGTACTGCCAAAGTTGCCAATCTTTCCCCTGACGAGGAGCCTTGTTTAAAAGCTGGTCATGCCAGTTTTTCAACAAGGAAATTGTTCATCGTGTACGGCAGTCGAGGAAAACTTGGTAACTATTTGTGCAGTACGTCACTGCGCACTTATCTTCGAGCGGCTATTGCCATTAAATCTCGTTTAGTTTTGGAATTCCCTTTCGAAGTGTGGTTTCGAAAACAGCTTCAACTGTTTTTAATTTTGTTAGAAGCAGCTTTGAACGAAAAGTCTCAAACTCGTTAATAATTAATGAGTAAGTTAACCAACCATATTGCTTTATTTTGCTCACATGATAATACTAGATACCTGGTGAAGTATAAGTAGTACTTTATTCGTTTGAGATGTCATTTCAAATCTTCCAATTCAGACTGGACTGGATTTTAAGTCCTCGCATTTTGATCAAAGTCCTCGGCTTTGCCTCGGACTTGATCAAATTGCGCGGACAGTTGTCATAGTTGAAGTCACAACTGTTTTGCTCTTTATTATCTCTTATATAACTAACGTACAATGTCTAAATCGAATGTCCCTAGATGTTCGTAAATGTTGTTTATATATCGTATCTCCGC